CTCTCTCTCTCTCTCTCTCTCTCTCTCTCTCTCTCTCTCTCTCTCTCTCTCTCTCTCTCTCTCTCTCTCTCTCTCGCGCGCGCGCGCGCGCGGACTGTGCTCTCCTTCGGAGCGCGACAGGAACTTGCTGCTTGTCTTTGATGCTCGGTGCTCATCGTGGATCCGTGCTGATTGTGGATCCTCGCTTTTCTTTGGTGCATGATCACGCGCTCATCGTCGATCCGTGCTTTTGGTGCTCGGTGCTCATCGTGGATACATGCTTTTCGTGCTCGGTGCTCATCGTGGATACGTGCTTTTCATGCTCATCGTGGATCTGTGCTTTTCTTTGGTGCATAATCACGTGCTCATCGTCGATACGTGCTTTTGGTGCTCGGTGCTCATCGTCGATACGTGCTCATCGTGGATTCATGCTCATTGGGGATCTGTGCTTTTCTTTGGTGCTCAGTGCTCATCGTTGATTCGTGCTTTTCGTGCTCATCGTGGATACATGCTGTTCGTGCTTATCGTGGATTCGTGCTCATCGTGAATCCGTGCTCTCTCTCTCTCTCTCTCTCTCTCTCTCTCTCTCTCGGCCTGTCCTCTCTCCTCCCTCCATCAAGAGAGAGAGAAAGGGAGAGAGAGTCCCTCTCTCTCTCTCTCTCCCTCTTGGCCTGTCCTCTCTCCTCCCTCCATAGAGAGAGAGAGAGAGAGAGAGAGAGAGAGAGAGAGAGAGAGAGAGAGAGAGAGAGAGAGGCACCAGAGGCACCATCACCATCCCTCCTCCCTCGGCCCGTCCTCCATTCCTGCCTGGACCCTCTCTCCTCCATCCCTCGGCCCATTCTCTATTCCTGCCTCGACCATCGCTCCTCCCTCCCTCACCCCTGGCCCATCGGCCCTCCCTCCCTCCTCCCTTTCTCCTTCTTTCCTCCCTTGCCTTCTCCCTCCTCCCTCCGGTGGTGTTACCTACCTCGGCCCTCCGTCCTCCCTCGCTTCGTGCTCCCTTATCTGGGGACGATATAGAGAGTGCATTCCGTTTTTCATAGCTTTTTCAATTTGCGTCAAGGCTTAGCGCCACTTTTTTTTCAATGTGAATAAGGGCGAGCGTGTGCTCTCGCGCGTGCGGTTGCACACAGACGCACACAACGAGGGGTGTGGATGTTGGGGGGAGAGAGTGATAGAGAGAGAGAGAGAGAGAGAGAGAGAGAGAGAGAGAGAGAGAGAGAGAGAGAGAGAGAGAGAGAGAGAGAGAGAGAGAGAGAGAGAGAG